CGATCACTTCAAGAAAATGGGAAAGGCGGAGGGAAACCCGCTTTTTTTGGTGTGAGGCGTGGTTTTACTTACATGTCGCATATGCTGCTTCTGCTTACGTACATGTTGCAGCGACGATCTCGGGAGTTCCAGAAGGGGAATTGCGGTTCACTGGGTTAAGTGCCTGAATGGGGTGGATATCTGGAGGAGCTCTCTGCGTACGCCTTCTGGATGGGTACTTTCAGACTCTTGTCGTATCTGTGCCATGAGATCCCGCCTCCCTCGGTGAATGGGTGCCGAGGATAGGTTCAGACTGGGCAACACACACCTCACAAAAGTCACCACCTCCGTGCCGATCTTCTCCCCGGGTGCCGAGTTTAGTCAGCGAATCATGGTGAAGATGCCGTCTGCCGGACCGCGTGGTGGTGAGTGGCTGAGCCGGAGACGGGGTGTGAAGTCGCTATGTGTGTGTGTAGACCTATCCCGCCGGCGAGATGCATCGAGAGCACGTATTCTGGTGTTACGAGGCACGAACTAGTTTGAGTATCGATGGAAAGGAGAGAAAGAGGGTGAGAGAGATACATACATGCGTCAGCTACGGATAGACGGATCCGAGATATGTGCGCTGACGCAAAAGGGCGGGAGGCCGATGAGCGAGGCATTGGAAGATATGATGATTACCTACGTTGGAGAGAGATATTGCACGACCAAGCGTGGGGGCCCCCCCATGGGGCCGTGCCATGGCTCCATGGTGGCTAGGCGGCTCTGAAAAGGCTTGGGTGTATTCCTTGGTGGAAAGGGGTGTGAGTTGAGAGAATAAGTACTGGCTGTTGATAATTCTGGACGAGGGGATATGTGTAGGTCTACACTAGCAAAGCAGCTAGGAGAAAGTTTCTCGGCTCCAGAGCGACCTTAGGAGGGAGACCTGGGAGGAGTCTGAGGGTGTGGTGTAGACGACCGGATTGTGTGCGCTTGTGGGGTGGTGGTGGTTCTTGTTATCATGGTTCTTTTGGGGGAATTCGAGTGTGTAACACATACGCCCGTAGCTTTATCTTGACAATAAGGTGAGCCATTGACCAATGAGAGTGCCGGAAGGCGAAGCGTGCCCGTTCGTTGTGTCGTACGTACTCACACACTCTGTCGGGACGGATGGTGTGCTGGGTATTCGATGAAGTTGGATGGCCTGGGGAGGGAGCCGCACTGTCCTAGGAATCGACTTGTCCCGATGGCATCGGCGCCGGGCGTGTGGAAACCGAGACATATGTTGTTTCCCTAGATGTGGAGAATGACCTGGATTGTTTACCTCACATCTAGATGAAGACATGGCTTGACGCCCCTTGAAGTTTGGGGGTCCTTATCTCATGGTCGCACTAGGTTACCACTCCTTGGCTCACGTCTTGTCTCTGTAAATGTCTCCGACTCCCTTGCTTGATAGTTCTCCACGGGGGAGAGGCGGAGAAGAACGTGGAGATGGGAAACAGTTTGGGGGTGGGCAGGGTCAGTGAGACATTGATCTGGGCTTTTGGTGGCTAGCCGCGTGTTCCACCCGTTTGTCCAGCGTCCTGTGTGATTGTGTATTTTGTGCAACCAAACACGAGGGGTGAAAGGGGGTGCGGCGCGAATGTGCGACGAAGTTCGTAATTGTAAGGGATGATGATGGAATTCTGCGTGGATTTGGTTTTCTGCCCTGAGCAGAGAGACCCAAGGAGTCAAGACTGACGACGTGCGTGTTTGTGTCGATCATCAAGCTCCGCCGTACTCTCTCTTTACGTCAGTTATGTTCGATTGAGATATCGGCACTCTTAGAAGGCGATGAGGGGGTATCTAAGGGTGATCGCGTTGCTGTCTCTATTGATGCCAATGAAGTTCGGCTTTGGGAGTAGGGGCGTAAAGATACCTGAAGGTAGAGAGGAGAATCCCATTCTGTTACAGGCGACAAAGTGTAAGGTTCGAAGACTGACTAGGCGCTCGCATACGCTCCCAAGTCATGACTCCCAGAGTCGTTGTCGTATCGTACTTGCCTGTTGATAGAAAATTGTTAGCGACACCGACAGTTTCGGGTATCTATTCTCACATGTGGTTGAGAGAACCCTGCAAGCCTCATATAGAGGTTGGTGTATGTAGCACTACTGACTCAAGGCTGACACTCCTGCCGCCGCGCGAGCGGAACCGTTGCATAGGTTACCCGGGATGCAGTCTTTCTATGAGATGGCGTATTACTTGATAAGTAGCCGCAGCTAAGGATGCTGGAGCCTCACTAGAGTGGATGGAACTAACGGGTTAACGCTCGTCCTTGGAGATGCAAGTGGTAAGAGTGATTTTACGAAGTCGGGTCTGGAACGAAATACGGTAGAGCTACCGTTGTACTAGGGCCACAGCAGAGCTACTGCAAGTTAGATAAGTTAGATATCGAATCCAAGTATTGAACATAAGCTTCTGTGACCGAAGCTCTTACCCCCGGACTTGAGCTGTACCGTATAAGGCGCGAGTCATTACATAACAATCGCACTGGTGAAAAGGTAAATCTTTGCACTTGTTCTCAGACAAGTCCAGCCGAGCAGCAGCCCACACTTTCTTCCAGAGACTTGCTCCAATTATATCAAGCTAATTTGAATGAGGAATGATAGAGAAGTCAATCGCAGAGATTGTTGTCCCGACTCGTTCACCTTTGTCTCCCCCGGATAGCAGGGGACGAACAGTAAAGCCAGCATCTCAAATACCGAGATCGCTTACCGAAGCCCAGGACATAGTTGTGAGTTTGACCAGGCTTTCGGTCCTCACGGTTGCTAAGAGCTGGACACGGAAGGGACTGGTGTGTTTACACCGAGCATTGTGGGATCAGAGCGTCAGTCTTATACATGACTCAGTAACTAAGAGTTCTATCCAGCAATTACGCTTCTGAAGTTTTGAGGCAGAAGCACAGGGACATGATTTTTCCATGCCTTGTCATTAAAACCCTTGCAAAACAAAACGTAAGGTACCGGAGATAAAGTAGAGGAGCGTGTAAATACAACGACTCTTAGATCTTTATACTAAATAACTCAATCCCTAACTCCTAGTCATCTCTTCCAAAGTATTCTAGCCGTATAAAGATAAGAAGATGGAAAGTAGGGTCGCCTAGCGGTAAAATAAGTAAAGTTGAGTGTTATATGTTAATTACCAGGCGAGTCGATACTAGTACCGCACTGAGAGTCTTAGTATTCAAAGAAGTAATAGAGTAGACTATATACGACCTTGATTACCATGACAAGTAGCGCACGTAGCAGGCTTGCCAAATCACAATCTAGCATGTCGTAGACCACTAACTTTTATCTTTCTGGTGAGCTCCCTGCCAGTGTCTTCCTTCTAAGATATGTTGTAGGTCTATAGCGTTCGAGTGGTAGGCTTCAGTCCTCCCGGGGTTTACAAGGTGATTGGGCATAGAAGAGCTCTTGAATCTGCCGTCAAATGTCGCAGTCATAGATGCGGCTTAGACACAATGAACCGAATGGCGATGTTCCGAAACCGTTCAACGCGGCAACACATGAAGACCAATTCCTGGCCATACCGCTGTAACTGGTGGCAATGGAGACTTAGAAGCTCCTGTGCGATCGTACGTCAAGGACAGCAGAGCAAGACTGGAAGTGCCATTTTTCTAGGCCCCGCTGCTCACGGAACCAAAATTGGAGGTTGAAATCAGTGTGGAGCACGCCACTCTGCGAACTCATAAGAATCAAGGTGGCTTGCACTTCTAAAGTTCATTACTATTACCAAGAAAGAATCTCATCATGGCGTATCCCGAATCGTTGGCGTGTATGTATTCAAAATGGACAACACGCCGGACGATTAGAAGTTCGAGATGCTTAGTATAGGTTCTAGTCACCGGGTAGGAACAGATGTTTGTGACTTAAGTAACGGGATAGCGAGCATGTTCCGTCAACAACAGCGCCTTCACAACCAACTTATCGATGAGAACCATGACAGATGTCAACTCCACGCTGCGACTTGTTACAATGATTCTCACAAGAGTTATATTGCTGAGCTTTCATAACTCATCAATACCTCAAGGTATTAATCCTTCAACGAGCACTCGTCGAAGGATTGTTCATGGGCACACGCTGTCTGAGCAAGTGGTGCACAATGTACCGCGGGCAACTTCCTGCCAAATCGAAACTGTTATGTCTTGTTCTAAAGATATTTGCAACGGGTGAGCTTTTCTACGCACTTACGTGCCTGAAATAACCAAAAGAACCAATGTCTTGGTCTGATTCTCCTGCCTCCTGACGCTCCATTCGGAACGGCCACATCTTGTTCCTCGCACGATACTGACCAAGAAAATTTGAGAGCAAGCGGTGAGAAGATATGAACAACGTGCCATCCGAGACATGACTTATCTGTGCTCAGTGATTTCACCTCATTCTGCGAATGCCTTCCATTACGTTAAGACTGTCTTCGGGCCGCAGCACTTGAACTAGTCATTGTAACGGCACCCATTGGCTGGCGGTTTAAGTAAGGAAGTCCGTGTTGAGGTGTCGGCGACTCTGGAGTGCCAGCTCTTAGGTAGACACGACTGCGGATTTAGAAACGGGATTGTTATAGGAAGGTAGGTTACGAAACGAACCTAGAACAACTTCAGACTGGTACCTCCGGTTGAGACCATGGAGGATTACGGCCTTGAAGATATGTCGAGTGTAACATTAATATTATGAGGCGAGTCCTTTCGTAACGATGGCATCGCGCCACACATCATTAGAAGCACCTATAAAAACGCTGGTCATAGAGCGCTGATGCCTCCTCATCTCTATAGGTTATTGGGCTGGTTGCGCTCCGAGGCACCTTAGGTATCCGGATGTTCCCCTAATCCTTCTTTACAAAATAACGATAGCCAACACTAAATCGGCTCGCATATGAAACTTCATCCTAACATACTTCTTCCTTCAAATTCAATCCTCTCTTTCGGAGTATTTCACCCTGAACACTACCGAGCCGCGAACTTGAGTCAAGGTGCGAGGGTCTAAGTAAGGTAGGTGGAACATGCCGAGATGTTGATGTTGACTTGTGTCCTCAGCTCATATTCGGCCAGCCAGACATTTCAAGTTGGCTTCACAACAGAGGCAACTATGCGCTCACAGTCCACTTGTTCGTGCTGGCTGAAGACCATGTTGCCTTCTTTAACCCGTAAAGCAGTCAACAGCGGCCTTTTTAATGGGAAATACCTGAGCCTGTTGCTTGCTTCGTTCCCCGGAACCCCGTTGACTAGCAGCAATTTTGCCGTGGCCATTTCGCCGCAGCTAGATAACCCTTTTGAAGAAGAGTCTGTCAGCCACGCAGGACGGGAGGGTCCCGAGGATGTGCGTAGTGTACATTGTCAGAGCACGAGGCGGAAAAGTGTTGACGACAGACGGCTCTCCCTGACACAGCAAAACACCAAATACGCCACTTACAAGTATCGAGAAGGCTAGGCTCTGAAGACAGATACTTCGCACGAAATGATATGACGATCAAAGACACGGTTCAATCTTTATATTTTCTTCACAAGGACACCATGTCTACATCGAGGCCCAGTCCTCAGACCTCAATTCTCTTGTACAGCCTCGAACGCAAACCCCGTTTTCCCACACCAAAAAGAACTCCTCGCCGGCCCAATCAGAAAACACTCTTTGTCTCCGGAGCGTGTTTGTACAAATCTGAAACCATGTCTGTTCCTCCATCACACTTTCACCACTTTCAATCGTCCTCAATATCATCATCACTAATAACCAAATTCTGCACCGCCAATCCAGCCACAGACCCATCACCCTTATGCCGAAACGCAGACCCCTTCTTCCGCGGCGACGCCTCCTCTGAAGGCTTATCCGTAGCCCAAGCATCGCCCGGCATAACACCATCATTCTCCTGCGCGTCCTCGGCTTCCGCCTCATCGTCGTCGCCCGTCTGCGGACCGATACCCTGGAACGACACAACCTTTTCAAGATCCTTGAGCTTGAAGGAGTGCAGCGTCGACTTGCGTCCGCGGACGATGGAGGCCATGTACGGCAGGCGCTCGAGGAGCATCTCCCTACGCGCCGAGCTGCCGAGGGAGAGTAACGGCGCCGATGCCGCGCTCGCGTCCGTCTTCGATGAGATCTCCTTGGCTGAATTGGGCTTTGACTGATGATTAGCCATCCAGCTGCCCATATCGGCCTGCTTGGGCCGTCGAAACGCGCTGGCGCCCTCGGTGAGACTCTTCCGCGGCGCATTTTCTTCCCCCTTCATCAGCTTCGTCGACCAGACATCAACAAGGGCCTCGAACTCTTCTTTTGTGCGCCACAATTTGAGACTGGTCGGGTAAAACATCTTGAAGGCGTCCGCGCCCTTGGCACCTGTCGAGGCCTTGCGCTTGACGGGTGACGGCAATGAGAAGAGCATGCCTCGAACGGCGACGTGGAAGGCAATTTCATCTTGCCGAAGAACATGGCTTCCTGAATCCTTGCCAAAGTTGGAGGTGCCCCTGCCGCCAAAGAAGGAGTCCCATGACGGGAGGAGCAGGTCACTCTCGGATAGGTATTCTATACACCCGTTGACGTAATCCAGAGGTGTCGACGCGTCGAAGGGAGGTACATTCTCGCAGGAGAACATGTAGTTCTCGTGAAGAGCCGAGATAAAGGTCTGCGTATCTGTGCCGGTTTCGTCCACCAACGTATCGACCGATACTTCTGACGGCTTCGGGCGGGAGTGATGTGCGAGGTAACTCGGTAAGCGCTCAGCTGGATTCGATGTTGAGGGCGCTTCCTCCCTCTTGTTGTAGACCACTTTTCCAACAGCGTGAAATATGCCGAGACTCGCCTCGCGCTGAGAAATGAGTTCCAGGGTATCTTCTTCCCCCTTTGTGAGAGAGATGCCCGCCTTGGCGCCCTTGGACTGCTTACTCAAGGCGATCTTGGCTCCCCAATCCGCGTCTTGATCGCCCTTCAAGCACATGAATTCCAAAGAAGAAATTGCACTGCGAATATCCCCTATCTCGCCCAAGCGTTTCAGCACTTGAGGTCCTGGCGTGCGCTTCCTCCCGGATTTGCGTGCTTCTTTCATCACGGTTAATTCCAGTGCTTTCGCGAGCAGGGTAGGCGCAACGGCATTGAACTCGATAACCCGTGTTCCAGGGTGCCGCAAGATCTCGGGGCCAAGCAGACGATGTGCGGTGAAGCTATCTGCCGACGCTGACGTTGTGGTCAGTAGTGTCTCCGAGATGACCAACACAACTGGCGTGATGGGCTCATTTGCAGGTCGCCGCCCGTAGTTCGAGAGCGATGGCATGTTCGACGCCAAGTACTCCAGGAGGGTGTTTCTGAAAGAGGTCAAGGCTGTTGAGGACCTTGAAAAGGTGTTGGGAAACTCTTCCACGAGGATGATCTTCCCGAAGAGGTCGGGCTTCGTGCTGGCGGGGCGCGGTGCTTCGGTCGTCAGATCGGTATCCAGCTGGCCAAACTTCCCACCTCTGCCTAGGAATTCCTGGAACTGGGCCGAAGCTGATGTGTACCCGAGATGTGCGCCGAGAGCACCGGTTGGATTCCTCCACTCCAGGAGCTCGTAGCCCATGTCCCTAGCTAAAAGTCGCATGGTGGTAGTCTTTCCGGAACCCGCAGCACCCTTGAGAATCAGAAGTCGCTGGCGCATCCGTCCGGCGAGGACATCTTCCAACCACTTCCTCACGTCTGAAACCTTCCTCTTGTGTACCGCCAGCTCATCCAAGTTCAGGGGCCCAAAGCGTTCCGACCAAGGTCGCAAATCGTCGTCGAGAGCTGCCAGCTTGTTCGGGCGCGGAGGCTTGAGGAACCTCTGGCTTGATGCTAGACCCGTTGACGACGAGACGGGCGTGCTGTCTCGAAAGCGCTTCCGCGCAATCTGCCCTACAATGCTCGAGGTGCTAGCCTTCTGCTCTGCAACATCGTCGTCCTCGGATATCGGATCGCTTATTATGTCGTCGAGGGGTACGGTCCTCGAAGAAGTAGCTGGCTTTGCGCCGGACTTTGATGCCTGCTTCGAGAATAGCATCATAAGATTTCCATTGCGGCCCTTCTCTTCCACCTTGACGCGCTTCGTCGGTTTGCCCTTGGACTTTTCGGGGCTGGTACTCGGGCTCTTTGTGTTCTTGTTCGATGGACCATTGCGTGATTGAAGTATAGCTGGCGCTGCGGTGGTTCGACGCTTCTCGGCTACGCGGCTCTGTGGTTTCGTTGGGCTGGGAGATGTAGTCGCGCCTCGCGTATCCGATTTGGAGGGTGATGAGAGAAGAAAGTTCGTGAGTGTATTCGTCTTGGGTAGGTCTTCCTCATCGTCCGACTCGACGACGTTGCGCCTTCTTCGTTTGGCTGGCGGAGCCATTGGGCGGGATAGTGGTACAGAAGCTCAACATGAGCGCATGTTCTCTGCAGGTTTGCAGGCTGACCGACGCGTCTGAACTTTTTCCTGGCAATTCGGAGATGTTGAAGGCGCGGGCAGGCTGTGAATAATATGCAAGAAAGAATGACCAAGCATGCACCTACCTGCCTCTCTGCCTAGGTCTTTTGGCGGGCGTCTAAAGCACAGCTGCATCCTCGTCATTTCCGAGCCTCGCTAATCGGGCCCCCACTTTGATGCACTTTACAGCGAGTGGACACTAATTCGTCGCTAAATCATCTGGTCTTGTCGGTACTGGCGGGAACACCCCGCTATCTTGGTAGCGACTTCCTTCATCTTGTATCTCAAAGATGCCAAAAGCAAAAAGCAGAGTCAGGCTCGAACCCCCTTGACAATTCATCAAGGACTACATCAAGCTTCCTGGCCTCTCTCCGTCAACCGATGACAACACTGGACAATTCTGGAGTTACAGCTCAGCCAGGGGAGGCCTCAGGACTCGGGATTGAATATTCAAGGTTGAATACCTCGTTGAAAGGAGCGAATGCCTTGCCCACTAAGAATTATGCTAACTTCACGCAGAAATCCATTGAATGGGCAAAGGATTCAGAATCTCAACACGGTTGGTGATGTAAGCTGTTGACAATTTGACATATTCATTATACATTTGAAGTCGTTCTCATGCTATGTACCCAGATGTTGTACAGTAAAGCTGTTTTAAAGACAGTCGAAGCTAGGTCAATCCGGCTTGTTCCCAGTAATGTGCCACGCATGTAGACAAGCCCGTTCCTAAATGCATGTTTGCTTCAATAATACCCCCCAGACTTCAGGTCAGCAGCTCCAAACGTCCACCCACGAAAGTTGTCAACGAACGTCAGAGCAGACGCCAAATACCGCTCGTGCACATCACCCCAAGTCCTAGAAGCCTCTTTCATGGCGCGAATTGCTGCGAAGCCTGTCAGTTCCTATATGCTAAAGCTTGAGCTAGTGTACTGACCTTTAACATAGTGAGCATCGGTAGCCCATTGCGAATTGAGAGCTTCATGCTCAACGTGCCCCCAGTGACGTTGCTTCAAATCCGTCTCCACATTTTCCGGGTCGATCTTTGGCCGCAAGAGGGAAATGTAGACACCGAGTACGAGCAACCACCACTCCCTTACTAAGCTTATGTGAAACTTGACCGGAATCACCGGAAGAAGAATTCGGACGGCATGGCTCGTCGTGAGGAGATGTACTGTGAAGAAGTTGTATCCGTGGGTGCCGCGGGGTATAGTTGCGACGAGGAGCGCGACGGCAAGCTCCTGTGACTCTTCGAACTGCTTCACCGGGTCTGTGATAGTCCAGGCATTCCAGTATTCCAGGACAATGTCTTCGTGCTTTGCAAACAAGACATCGAGGTTGCCCAAGGACGGTTCCTTAAATAGTCCATCAAGTCGCTTGTCATCTGCAACCTTGTTAATCAACTCGAAAGTCGACTTTGAGCTGAATGGTGCCGGCTTCGTGTATCTCTTTTCGTCGAGGTATTGGTGGAAAAAGTTGTATTGCGTGGCAGCCAATGCTAGTGCCTCGATCGCGATCTCCTTGGAGTTCATCTCGTAAGCATATCCGAGGTGGATGAGGGGATGGCCAACTACATGAGGGGTCAGCAGATGTACTTCGTCACTCCTCTAGGGAATACGCACGACCACCAATGAGCCCATGAACCAGAGGCTCGTCGCCAGTAAACATGAACTCGTCGACAACCTTCTTCCATTCATAGGAGTTGTTTGCCAAATGGTCCTCAAAGAAGTCGACATAGGCTCTCTGATATGTCTTGTCGCCGAAGAGATCCCTCCAGTCATCATCTGAGACCTCGGCGGGAGACTCCTTCCATGGCTCGAGCTCCTTCGCTTCGGCCTCGTAGATATTTTGAAGCTGGCGGTCATTCGCGCCCAGCAAATAAGCAGACGAAAGAACATGTGCCGTGTGGTTGTCGAACCGGAGGTTGTTGTAGATTATGGAGTGGTTGACGTGGTTGGCCCTCAGCAGGTGCTTGAGGCATCTCGCTCGCCGGTCGTGGTCGGTCTCGACGTCGTGAACTTGGACAGGGGGGATGTTGATGGTTTGCGCCTTCTCGCCGTCTGAGACGAAGCGGTTGACGATTGGGACGTAGGATAGAAGACTGGGCGCCATTTTCGAAAGTAAAAGCCTCAAGAAGTTCCCATTGTTGGAGAAGGGAAAAGAATTGCGACGGAGCTGCAAATGCAAATTGCCGTTGAAGACATGGCGCGACCGCCCGAGAAGCGTTGGGAAAGTGACGTTTGATGGGTTTGACTGAGTGGGGCCATTTTATGCAGGGAAGGGCGGGCACGTCCACTTTTGCAGGGACCGTCCCACCTCGGCGCACTTTAAAGTGCCCAGCGCGCCCAGCTGCTCGACGCTGGCAGACCTCAACCCCGCCATTCCCGGCCGGATGCCCCGCTATCGGTCGTCCGGGGACGGAACGCCAGTAAAGGCATTTCTTCCGAGAGCCCTCTCCGACTTTGTTTCTTTGGCCCGCACCCGTCTTGTTTAGTAATTTGGAATGGAGTTGACGGAGCTTTACGCACTCTGGTTAATCCACTGCTGACCCAGTAGTACTATCGGGTTTCTGCCTCGACTGACTTCCCAACAATCGCCAGTTTCGGTGACCATTCTTCAGTCCAAGCAGCTGAATGACGGAAACGACATCAGCTAACTCTGGAACCGATGGAACCAATCAATACCAATCTGATGTACTTCCTCTACCAGAGAGCACCCTTTTGGACCGTATCTCGTAGTCGCAATCGCTGACTCGGGTAAGACGACCGCCCGAGATAACCGAAGGCGACACAAACGATCATACCTTGCTCCTTGATACACAAGAACACTATCCCAGACATTGAAGAATCTACACGGGGTACTTAAGTCACAAATGACCCCAGCATCGTGTTTATGTTTGCCTTAGTTTCTCCCGGGAACAAAAGCGGTTCACGATATCTCTCGCCCCCCTACTTTGATGGGAAGGAACCTGGAAGTGCGTCCTTGCATGCGATCCTACATGTGACTCTACCATCATATAACCAACACGCATACGCGCAAATCAAAGCACTTGGGTATGATCCTCAGCTGTGCTTATGTAACTGAGCATGAAGCTGTCGGCCTATCCAGACAATACCTATCAACTCCAAGTAATTTTCGGTGAGTCAAGGGACTCTGATTGGGAGTTTTAAATTGGGTCATGAGCTAGCCATTGACCAATAATATACCTTACATTCACCGAGAATGTAAGATATCGTGTAAGTCGTGGTGAGGCAGCTTGTCGAAGAGCCGCAGCACACGACGTATAACTTGGTGTGAAAGAGCAAATCCAGGGCCCCTCTCCAATTTCGTCCCTACAACCCAACTCGTCACAAAGTGAGCGCGAATTATTTGCATCTTGTTGACAAACATTGAACATAAAATCTGTTTCGCCCCTTGTTCTCCACCCCTGCCTTCTAACGGCGACTTACATGACCGAGATGGGGTTCGAAAAGGATATTTACAACCTCTTGGACCACGTTCATAATGCAAAGCTACCAGGCCGCAGCCCAATGGCTTATCAGCCCACTCCACAGGTTCACAGTAGCGGTCAAGAAAAGAACTTAAGTGAGGATGATGAGCTTTTCGAATTCTTCTTTGACTATACCCGCTACCAAGCATCTGCGACGAAGGATTCTCCCCGCGTACGGAATCTAGCACCGCGAACCATGACCGGCACGACCCCACTATCAGACAACGAGACGGGGAGTACGACAGAGACATCTTCTATCCTTACCCCCGAACCTGATGTCTCCACCCCCGGGTCTGCCTTTACGGACCTTGTCTCATCTCTCGAGGTCTTCGAGAGTAGTGACACCCCCTCAAATGTTCTACAAGGCCTTTCCGATGACCCGTACCTCTTCCCCCGTCTCGACAAGGAGCAAGAGCTTCCCCGGTTACCTCGTCTCCTCGTTCCTGGTTCCAAGAAGAGATCCAGGTCCAACAGTCCCGGCGTTCAGAAGCGTGTAGTCAAGGACATTGGCAAGACCAACCAGGTCCGAAATGCCGGAGCATGTATGCGATGTAAGATCCAGAAGGTCCCGTGTAGCGCGACCGGCGTGTGCGAGAAGTGCGTCAAGGCACACCCCAAGGAACCCCAGAGCTCTTGCTTCCGGGAAGACTTGGTCACAATCGCAAGCAGCTTGACTCATCAGCGATGTAGGTCTTCTCTCATAACTCTTGAGCACCGCAAAAGTGGGGTGCTTGTTGTCCATGAGCTAATGCTTCCCAGTCGCTGAGCTCAACAGGAATATGGAGATTGAGGTCCGGGAGTTGCTTAGGACCGCCCATCCACAATATCTAGAGCCCATCTATAAAGGAGCTGTGCTTTTTTCTCGTAGTCTGCCTCAAGTTGGGCTTCCGACTACGCTGCGCAACTACCGCTGCATGGTAGACGGCATGTCTCAACAGCTCCACAGAGGCTGTGTTCTCTCTAGGGAGCATGGCGGTGTTCCGTCGTACCAGGACCTCGTCAAATGGGCAGAGCAAATGGTACTACCCGAAGACCGCGATACCTTCGAAGGAAGCATCGAACGGTTCATCAAGACGTACTCCGCACCTCACCGGTTCCGTCAATATCCCAAACGGCCACAGGTATGGTGCAATATCTGTTGAACTCTTAATACGCCCCCTGGTACTAACGCTGTCGCAGATGGAACTTCTCGACAATGTTCACACTATGAAATGCATGTACAAGATCTGTTGTCAAGGCGACTTCATCTTCGTTCACGAAGGTACTGGAGCAGTGAAACAAGTTCCCTTACCCGCCCAGGCAGAACTGAGAGCCGTTGCGCGCATGGCCCTCGAAAAAGCCGAGAGAGACATTCTCAAGGCGCTCGACAAGCTGAAAGCCGCTTCGACAAAAGTTCCCGAACAAGACTTGCCTGCTATCTGGGCCGCCTCGTGGCAGCTCATGTTCATCTATCGAGATCTGCTGAGAAACAGGACGCCGCGCGACAATGATGCCGGGGCGCTCCTCAACGCGGTGGCCGTCTTTTACGCAGCCCACTTTAGGACCTCGTCCTCCCTTGGCAAGTTGACGTTGGATAGTCTGCAACGTTATTGGGGACCTGGCGAGACTCAGCAGGCGCAGCTCTCTGCTGCGTTTGATCATGCTCTGAGTCTTCGCGATACTCTCCGTAGGTCTACTACCATGCTCTTGAGTCAGTGTGATGTCACTAATAGATTGGTGGCTAGATCGAACAATCGCAGCTGGTATTGACGAGATTGATCATCGTCTCAAGGCCTTGGTTGTCGACCCGGAGATGAAAGTCCTGGGACGACGTACGAATAAGAAGACGAGCGGCAGCAAGTGACATACTGCACTGCTCATATGGCGATTGAAAGTGAGGCGGAGGAAACCTGAGGGCCTTTGTGTCCTGGTTCCGCTATGAACATGAAGATTATGATGTATGACACGTATGGTGGATTCTGGTCTCTTTGGTATAGCGTATATTTTATGTTGGCTCTTGAACTTCTTTTAATGTGCAACCTTAGCTGGTGTTCTGGGATACGGGGGTTCTGCGTTCGAAGCGAGGCAGAGACCTAGTCGCTGCAGTGGGATGGCGTTTTTGAGTTGGTCTTTGAACGCCGTTGGCTTTCCTCCTCTCCTCATGTCTTGCCAAGGCAACAAGCCAAATATCAATCCATTGAGCTGAGAATCCAATCCTTCTAAAATTGAGGCTTGGGAGCATATTTCGTCGCACGCGATCCTGTCTCTCTCATAGTAGTCAATGTCGTAAATGACGTCGGCTGACAATCACTCGTCAACCCGAGATCTTGGAGCCCATAAGTTAGCTTCATGGGCACCAGCTGGCTGCAGTCTCAAGATAAGCTCATCTTAGCCTTATCTAGGTCCGAACCAGCGGGGTCAAGGGATACCCTGGATCTTATTATCCGAATACTCAAACATGACTCCCCGCGATGTGTTGCTGCCAAATCAAACGTCGGGGTCATATCTATGGATCCCTGTTTTTTGCGCGGGAAACCCGCACTCTTAGTCTCTTACAACAGTTGGCCGAGGGAATCCAGGCGTTCTGGAAACAAAGGCTAAGTGGATGTAGAAAGCGGCTTGATGAACTCCACGCATAACTTGTTTCTTAACTATCAAGTACTCGTCAGATCAATCGCATGTTGAGGCTGGCAACAAGACCTGATTGAACAACTGACGTAACACTCACAAAATGGCATCATCAGATCATCCCTATCAGAAGCTCGATATCGACGAGCGAGTCAAGCGTGTTCTTCTCAGAACGCCGCTCATCGATGGCCACAATGACCTGCCTCAGCAACCGCGGGCTTGCTTTCACGGCAAGATTCACAACAACCCCAAGTTTGACTTCGCAAATGGATTCGAGAGGGGAATGACGGATATTCCTCGATTGAGAGAGGGTGAGTTGCATTCGACCCTGTCCTACTCAGTTGACGGAAGTGACTTACACAAAATCCAGGTGCCGTTGGTGGTCAGTTCTGGTCTATCTGCGTGCCCTGTCTGAGGTCCGCGGAGAACTTTTCGACGGCAGAGTACTCTGACATGGCGCGCGACGCCATTGAGCAGATTGATATGACGCTTCGGCTTGTTGAGTCGTATCCGGAGACGTTTGAGTTGGTGAATGGGCCGGATGATGTGAAGAAAATTTATGAGTCTGGGAGGATAGCTTGTTCTATCGGTATTGAGGGGTATGTGCTCACTCTGAGGTGCTGGAGTGCTCATGATAGACTAATAAGCTTGAAAGATTGCACATGGCTGGCAACAGTATCGGTATCATCAGAGCGTTTTACCGCCTGGGCGTCAGATATGTAAGTTGAAGAAACTTACAGATACTATGAGGTCTGAAACTAACTCTGCTAGTGCACTCTCACTCATGTGTGCAACAATGCCTTCGCCGACAGCTCAACATCCAAAGTCGGCGCTGTTCACGGCGGACTCTCCAAGCTAGGCCGCGCAGCACTCGTTGAGATGAATAGATTGGGTGAGCAAGACAGCTCTAAGAAGCAAGCAGTCAGCTGACGAGCAACAGGAATGATCGTAGACATCTCCCACGTCTCAGAAGACTGCGCCAAACAAGTCCTACAACAGACCCGCGCACCAATCATGTTCTCCCACTCCAACGTCAAGGGCGTCTTCGACTGTCCCCGCAACGTCCCCGACCACATCCTAGACATGGTCCCAGCCAACGGCGGCATCGTAATGGTCACCTTTGTACCGGAGCACGTCACCACGCGTAGACGGGACGCCAAGATGGACATGGTTCTCGATCACTTATTCTACATTGCCGAACGCATCGGCTGGGACCACGTCGGTCTCGGCTCCGATTTTGACGGTATCGCGTCCGTCATCCCTGGTTTGGAAGACGTCAAGTGCTACCCGAGACTTCTCAAGGCTATTCTTGATAGGGGCGCGACCGAGGAGCAGCTTGCCAAGGTGGCTGGTGAAAATATCTTGAGAGTGTGGCGTGGTGTTGAGAAGGTTAGGGATGAGATGAAGGCTGAAGGGGTCTTGCCGGTTGAGGATGTGTGGGAAGATCGGACATGGTGGAGGTATGATGGATACTACCAGATGCCGGACCCTGATCCCGAGGACAAGTTGGGCTTGGATTGGTATGGCGTTCCGCCCCCGGATGAGGGCTTGTATCTGGACGACAAATAGGACTCAAAGCTATTCAATGAAAGTTCATGAGAGGTCTCTCTTAGACCGATAAATTGCATGACTGTAAATTCATAAGGATACTGGACGAATGAGGCGGTCGATTTCAGTAAGATTCACGGTTCATCACATCGCCCCAATTTTAAGTGAATATCCCACTGAAGCCGAATTCTGGTGACTGCTGCCTGATGCTGTCTTGATGGTTTAACTGTCTAGAAACCTTCCAGGGAATGGTCTACAAAATTGCAGTCAGCCCATTTTCGGAATCACGGCTGGTCGTTGTGACGTTATGCGCGGGGTAGCATGCGCAAGTCATGGCCGCGGATGTCTTCAACCGGTGATAAGACTTTTCCGCGGGAAGCACTTACACCCCCCAGTTGTGCCACCGGCTCTTATCTGCTGCTTCTCGGAGGGATACCGAATTATTAACAACACATCTGTAGATCCGGCACATAAGTCGCTAATCACTCTATATAGCTAGATGTTCCTGAGATGTAGATGAAGCCGGGCGACTCGCATCGCAGCGGCCGAAACACCTTCTCTTCCCTCTCCTAGATCTGTCTGGGCTATCACCATGAAGACAGAAATGACTCCCAAAGAGGAGCTTATGGCCTTCGAGCCAACAAAGCCCCTCGACCTCCTCGACGCAGCCGAAGGCGAGGTGATTGACCCTGAAGAGAGCTCCGCACTTCTGAGACGCCTTGACCTGCGCCTGATGCCGCTCCTCTGCATCACCTACGCCCTACAGTCCATCGACCGCACGACACTAAGCTACGCCGCCGTCTTTGGAATCCGCGAGGACATTGGCCTCACGGGCTCCGAGTTCTCCTGGGCCGGCGCGCTGCTGTACCTGGGCTACCTCTTCTGGGAGTTCCCGACAAACGTGCTGCTGCAGAAGCTGCCCATCAATACCTTCATGTCGGCCACCGTGGTACTGTGGGGCGCTGTGCTCATGTGCCATGCCGCGTCGCACAACTTTGCTGGGCTCGCGGCAACGAGGACGTTTTTGGGCGCGTTTGAGGCCTCGATTAACCCGGGTACGATGTTGCTCTTCTCGATGTACTACTCGAGAAAGGAGCAGCCTGTTCGTATGGGCATCTGGATCGGGTCTGCGGGCTTGGGGTACATCACGGCTGGTATCGTGACGTTTGGAATTGGGCATGTTCAAGGGTCTATCGCGAGCTGGCGGATTCTGTTCCTGTTTTGGGGCGCAATTACGGTGGTTTGGGGTGTTCTCATGCTCATCTTCCTTCCTGGCTCGCCTTTGACGACGAAGTTTCTGTCGGAGAAGGAGAAGGCGATGGTTATTAGTCGCGTAAAGGCAAATGGCACGGGAGTTGAGAACAAGAAGTTCAAGTGGCCTCAATTTAGGGAGGCCATGACGGATTTGAAAACATGGCTTCTGTTCTTGTTTGCCGTTGCGAGTAACACACCCAACGGTGGATTGACGACAGTGAGTTGATCCTATGTTACCTTGAAGACTGCAAACTGACACAACGATAGTTCCAAGGCCTCGTTATCAAGGGTATGGGCTTCTCGACGCTTCAGACCACTCTCATCCAGATGCCCTCGGGAGCAGTGCAGCTTATTCTGTGTCCCTTGGCCTGGTAAGCAACCACCATCTTCCCTATCACCTCAACTTCAGCTTACACAACACAGCTTCTTCGCTTCCTACTACCCAAACGCCCGTATAGCCATTATGCTCACCTGTCTCGCTCCTTTCCTCGCCGGCATCCTTGGCCTTTGGCTCATCGACCAATCTAACCCCTATGGCCGCCTCGCTTGCCTCTGGATCTCCTTCGCCTACACGGCAACCTGGACACTCTCCATGTCCGTCGCCACGGCCAACACCGCCGGCCACACCAAGAAGATCACGACAAACGCGATGCTTCTGATCGGGTACTGCCTCGGAAACTTTGTCGGCCCCTTCTTCTTCAAGGCGGAACAGGCCCCACGGTATCCCCTGGGCGTCGCAATGATGATCTTCTGCGTCGGCATGCAGATTGCGTGCTTGTGCGCCCTCTGGTCTCTCTTGTGGTTCCGGAATCGGTCCAGGAGGGCGGAACACGCGAGATCGGAGGAGAATGAGCACCAGGCTTATGAGCGTGGGCTCCTGGACGAGACTGACTTGCAGAACAAGTACTTTAAGGTTCGTGGGCTTGAATTCTTTGCACATGGATCTCTACTAACAGCGTTCAGTACGTGTACTGATTACAACAACCCCTCGAGAAGCGCACCGGACGTCAGAGTCACATTATGTATCTAGAGAAAAGTATTCAGTTTGGTGAAATAGAATTTTGAAAGATCCCAACAGCCGCGAGTTCCAGAGAATTCCGAAATCAGCCTAATATAACGTGATAGTTTGTAGAACAGTTTTCCCAGCCTCTGACATCTCGCCGCGCATTGCTCCGTGCATGTAGCACTCACTCACTACATGGTACCTAATATGCTTCCTGCGGAAAATGAAGGCGGCTGAACCGTCAACGTCGCTATTGTTATAATGTTGGTCTTCGTTGTTTCTGACTGGCCGTAAAATAAACGGCATATGTCCTGAACAGAGGATCCAAACCTCGTCTCCCAGTTTCGTACCGTAAGTTCCGACGCCAGTGCCACCTCCTCTTGTGAGAAAGGTGGTCATTTTGCTGGCCGTCAGCCAGGCTGCCATACACAAGTTCTCACGGTCGTCTGACCCTTGAATGTTCGCCCAACCAAGCACGGCTTTCTCTACATCACTACGCATCGTGAAAAACCTTGCGGAATGGTCATCTGTGCCCAGTGTCTTATCTAGCTCGCGGAAGGTACTGGCAGCATCTGCTGCAGAATCCCTCTTCCACTTTTCCACCAGGTTTCTAATGGAAAACGAAGAGGAGTAGACTGTATCCGAGGAAGCGTCGGCTAGAGGCACGCCCGTGCCCACAATTGTGCCAACAAGATATCCATGAAGCGATAGGCGGCGCCCGTCGCTCGAAACAACATTTCGAGAGTCCAGCTGAGGAATGCCGTACGAAGCGTTGTAATATTCACGTAATACATGAGCTGTTACATATGGCTGTGGGTCGATGGGCTCTGTCTTCCCTTTGCGACGCCAATCTACAACCCAAGTTGGTTCCTCCACGGGCGTTGCACTTGGCCGGCGTCCCAAGAGCGGCAGCAAAGATTGAGAAGATTGGATGAGATCCACTGTCACTCGACTATATAGCTCATCGCAGTCGATATCGTAGTTGCTTGACTTCACGCTCGGCAATGCCCCTGCAATGAAAGGCAGTAGAGCGAAGATCTTGTCGCGCGGGTCCAAAGCTTGGCGGTCGCAGGTATTCCAAAGGAAGCTAGTGATATCTTCACCAACTCCTTGCGGCCCTGACCCAAGAGCAGCCCTCAAGCTCACGAGTGATATGGTCAGCCTTGTTAGCGTTGTAATCGCCTCATATATAAGCCACTCATCTCCGGCGAGTGTCCATCCTTTTAGACTTGAAAGAATCACATCCGCGTGGTTCAAAGCGAAGTTCGTCAATGGCGATCGCGAGATCGTGAAGGGCCCCCAAAGAAACGTCGCCGTGGGAGGAGCAACACACTCTTGAACTATCCATATTCGCCGCCACCACTGGCATTTTACCAGGCTTCGAATCGTGAGATTGAGTTTCTCAGAACCTTCAGCGGTCGAAAAGCTAGCATCTTCTGCTTTGGCATAGTATAGGAATTCGATGAATTCCAGACCATAGCGAGCAACGTCCAAGCTGAGCTTCCCTTCGAGGAGGTCAACCTCACCCAACCACATCAAGCAATTGCTGCACTTGCTGTAAATTTCGAACATCATGTCGACCTGTACCCGCTTCTCCTCGTGATCATCCTGATTGATGCACAGCGCATCGGCCCAAAGAGTGGTGCGTTCCTGCTCAGATCTGACTCGTCGCAGAGCCAAGAACAAAGACGTGGTAATTTTGAGCTCTTTCCCATCCACCATAATGTATTTGGTGTTAGAGGCGTCGCCCCAAACATACGATATACATTGGTAGGCGGGTTCGTCATCGAGGGTAGCCACACTGAACGCGCCTTGAATCGCACTTCCTTGGCTTCCGGGCCAGAGGGTGAATAGTCTTATTTGCTTGGCTGGATCTTGTAGGAGCGGCCGCACATTTGGCTCGTTGTTGCCTATGGGTCAAACACAAAGTTAGCTAATGTACCTAGGACACGTAAAATAGGGGGTGATTCGTGTAACCTAACTGATGGCTATCGTCCTGGATCTCAGGTAGAGAGAGCTGGCCTAGATCCGCCATGATGGGCAACCTATCAAGCTATCGCGAGATGTGTCAAAACTGGAGAGTTGTTTGACAGAAGTGCGGGGGAAGGCAGGTACTAGGTCGTAGGTGTGATGGAATAATACTGCCCGGTTATCTGCTTCATTACAAACACCCTTGCCGCTGCTCATTGGTCCCCTTCGCGCTGGGTCATAACTTGCATGTGTTGGAGGGCGCTTCGCCGTCAGTTGTATGGAATCGTCACGCTGTGCCAAACCTCTGCATACGGCCGCGGATCGGGTCGCGGTGGGAGTGGACACCCCGACATCCCCGACTCGTCCGGTTCCGGAACCAGCACGGGCAGCGGCCGGGCTTCGTACCCTCCCCCTCCGCATCCTCCCATGATTACATCGCCATCCATGTCAAAGACCCAGCTACTGCAAATTTCCACGTTTAATATGCCAATCATGAGTACGTCCCCGTCTGCGTCAATCCACCATGGCGGCACAGGCTGCACTGCCGGCCTCGATACTGGCTTTAGGTGCGCTGATTTACATTGTATCCTCGCTATGGGCGGGGGAGAGCGAGGTCCAGGCAGTCTCTCGGTCGATTCATTGGGGTAAGGCTTGGATTTGATTTGGTGACTGAGCAACTGCGTCCTGAGAGAGGGGCGGTGTACCATTGGAGATGATGCCGCAGAGGGAGAGAAAATCTGTGCATTGTTTGAGAGTCAATGCAATAAACAGGAGACCTACGTTTTAAGGGTGTAGTTATGAACTTGGTGAATAGGAATGGACAACCAATGTCGACACACTTGATCCAAAGATAACTCTGTCTAGATTTGAATGAGGGTGTTTGGAGCCGAAGGTTTTAAAGGTATGGTGAATCATGGGAAACAAAGAATGCGTTCACGAACAGATAACCCCCAAGTTCTTGGGGTCGTCTCAAAGAAAACATGCAACTCGTTTCTCAGTACTGAATAGACGTAATTTTCTTTATTGTCATGAGCGCATGTTCATCTTGAATTAAGCTCCTACTACGCCGACCTCGAATTACATCCCATTTGTGTTGGTAGGAAACCTGTCCGTAAGTGTCTAGAGGGAAGACACGCAACGATCCGGACAGTTGTACTCATGCTCTCTAGTTCTGCTGCAAGCGATCTTGGAATAGATGTGATTCACGTTGGCGAAGCGGACAACGAGGGGCAAGATCGGGCGAAGAATACCATCCTCAACCGCTTTCAAGCGGTACGTACAGTGGGCATCAGAAACACGAGAAGAAGCTTCATAAGAAATATGCCCAAAGGCAACATTTTCCCCGAGACAAAGAAGTCCTGGGGAGGTGCGATAGAGATCATATTCAAGATCAGCGAGGTCGTCGGTCTACCTTATAGTGATCTTCATAGGATTCGTCGATACACTTCAACCTCATCAACACAAGAGATAGTTGATTAACTGCTTGGAAATAGAACTCAGAGCTTTGCAATTTATCAGAGTACATCAAAGTAAGGGGTTTGAATTAGTCGATTCCATTTCTATACTCTCAGAAGTCTCTCCGTCTTTTGGTCTCGGCGTCTCTATACGCTCCTTCCACCTCGAAGCGCTACAAACGTCTTCTGTGTGTCTGTGTGTCTTGTATGAGTCTGAGCAGACTACTCTCCCTCCATCTTTCTCGTCCTTCTATATCGCCTGCATGATCACCATCTTCTTCCTCTCTTCTTCTTGTATTAGAGCTTCGCGCCCTCCTTCTTCCGACCATGTAGTCAATGCTTCCTCCGCGGCGCCCGGTGGTACTGGTTCGACCACTTAACCCTCACCCCAATCTCATCCGCAATCTTGTACACGAAATTCGGCTCCCGCAGAAACTGCCTCGCCACAAACACCGCGTCCGCCTGCGTCACCTGCCCATGCTCCTCATCCACCTCCAACGTCGCCGCATTCCCCTGATCAACACCGTTATGCCCATTCGCCTCAGCCGAGCCGGAGCCTTGGGCCTGCACGATACTCCGCGCCATCTCCCCGCTCGAAATCATGCCCACGGCGCCGATGAACAACTTCTTGCCCTCCGCGGCCAGCGCCTCGCGGATCTTGCCGGCGATACTGACCTGGTAGTACGGAGAGATCTCAATCTTTTGAGCCTCGTTGTTGCCGCCCGAGGAGACGTCGAGCAAGTCGACGCCGGCTTCGGGCAAGAGCTTTGCGAGCTTGATGGAGTCCTCTACAACCCACGAGGGCTTGCCGTCGTATTCCATCCACTCTGTCGCTGAGATGCGCAGGAAGAGGGGCATGCCGGATGGGATGACGTCGCGGACAGCCTTAATGACTTCAAAGAGGATACGGGTGCGGTTCTCGAAGCTGCCACCGTACTTATCGGTGCGTTGCTAGGTCATGTCAGTACTTTCTGTGCCGCACATCATGATGAGGGGGGAAAAAAAAGAGAGAACCAAGAAGGGGTTCCGGAACTTACATTAGTCAGAGGAGAGAGGAACTCTGTAATCAGATAGCCGTGCGCGCCGTGAATTTCAATGACATCGACACCAGCCTCGACAGCCCTCTTGGCAGACTCGGCAAAAGCCTTCACCACACCCTGAATCTCTTCAACAGTCAACTCCCGCGGCGTAGCCCATCCCTCGGTAAAGGGAATCGAGCTCGGCGCAACACAGTCGTCAGGCCACCCGCCCTCGCTCTCCAGCGCCAGAGCCTTGCCCTTGGTCTCTGTAATCCATGGCGCCAACGTGCTCGCCTTGCGGCCAGCATGAGCAAGCTGAATGCCCACAGCCTGGTTCTGCGAGTGGATGAAATCAACCACGCGCTTCAGCGGCGCGACCTGGGAATCCTGCCACAGACCGACGTCCTCGGGGGAGATGCGGCCGCGGGCCTCGACGCCCGTGGCCTCGATGATGGTCAGCGACGCGCCGTGCAGGGCGAACTGGCCCAGGTGGACGAGGTGGTAGTCCGTCATGTGGCCATTGTCGGCGGAGTACTGGCACATGGGCGAGACCCAGATGCGGTTGTGGAGGGTCAGGTCGCGGATCTGTAGGGGCTGGAAGAGCGTCGGGGCCGCGGGGGCGTCGACGGGGGTTCCGGCGGGGGGCTCCTGGGCCGGGGTGTAAAACGGCACGCCTGGGGCGGCCTTGTTGACGGTGCCGGTCATAGTCGTTGTCCGGGGGTTACCGTTTATTTTCTTCTTCGCGCAAGAGGGGACCAGAGACGAGGGTGGTTGTGCGGGGATAAGGTGCCGTGGTTTGCGGCGTTTTCTCGCGGTGCTTCGTTTGGGAAGGGGAGGGGCGGGATGTTTGGCCAGTGGTTTCGAGTTGATGAACTGTTGTTCAGGCAAGCGGGCAGAGGGACGGATCTTGGGAAGGGTTGTCAAGGGGTTTTATCAACAAGGCTAAAAGCGCCGGATCGAACCCCTCGAACCCCGGGAACCCATATTCCGTGTCGTCACAGCAGTCGAGGGCGACTTGTCCTGATTTGTAAAGCTGTCGATGCGGGCAGCGGGCTGGGTTGGTAGGTAACAAACACCTCGGCATCTAGAAGGCGATATGGAGCATGGCGAAAACGGCTATTGGATCGAACCCTCTGTCTCTAAGCTCAATGCTCCAGGATAGTGGGGGTGTCTTTCGACGCAGCAAGTTTAACAACAAAGTCGATTTATCAGCTCGGTCTAAAGTGCGTCCATGACAGCCTGTTGCGTCTGCTATCCGACGAAACGCCCTCCCAAAACGCCCTACAGCCCACCTTCTGTGCGGCGATTGACTTGCTCTTTGCTCAATGAAGCCATCCTGTGCTTGCTGAGTAATTGCAGATTGGCATGCGTCAGTCCTGCTGCACTCTACAGGTCCTCCCTCCTTCTCCTTCTCCTTCTTGTTGACCGGAAATAATTCTTGAGTGGGAAACGGCCTCTGTCCGGAGTGGGTCTCCCCGAGTGGCGTCATTCCGACTTGTCCCCCTCTCCCCTTCCTCCCCCGTGGCGCCGAATCGGCAGCCGCCCAACCTACCCCTCCATCCCTCTTCCCTACCGGTCCTCGCCAAACTGCGAACCGAGTTTCTGGTTGATGAAGCGCCGTTTCTTTCTCGAAGCCTTCTGTGAAGACTAGCTCATCCGGCAGCGGGGGTTTCAACTGTGCGAAATGTTACGATTGACTAGGCTATACGATCAAGTATGACACCCCATGTCGTATCTGGATGCTTATGCCTGTAGGTAAAACCGACGTCCCTTGCTCATGTCACCCACCAACCAGTTGGGGACGAACCTGGCCTTGAGAGCCTAGTATTCGTACATGGAAACGGCTTCAACCACGCCCTGGCTCTTACTACTACACAATCACCAGAGCACGAGAATGCGACGAGACCAAGTGATTGAACCTTGCAATTTCATGTATTCATGAACATACTACATTAGACCATGGCCCGTTAAGGGGCTCTTTGAGCCTATATCCGTTCAGGACCCATCCCTGAAAGCGGTATCTGTTGAATTCCTTACTTTTCCCTGAGTCCCAAACCCGCTTGCAAAACGCCGTGGAGATGTGTTGAAAAAAGAACGCCTATGTTGAATTTGCCTGTAACCTTCCCCTGTTTTTCCGGTCATCCCCGCGGGTATCGCCACGTCATTGTCTGTTGAAAAGACTTATCGTTCCCACCCAACACCTAAATCACACTCATGTACACCGCATCAACTGCCCAAACTTAGTTGGAGTACTTCTGGCGGAAGTACTTGGCAGCGTTGACCATGTTGACCAGGGCGGCCTTGGTCTCGGCCCACTGGCGGGTCTTCAGACCGCAGTCGGGGTTGATCCAGAGCTGCTCAGGGCGAAGACCGTTGTTAAGCATCTCCTCGATGCGGGTCTTGATCTCCTCCTCTGACGGAACACGGGGGGAGTGGATATCGTAGACACCAGGTCCGATGTGGCGGGGGTAGGCCTTGTCCTCGAAGACACGGAGGAGCTTGGCGTCAGACTTGCTGTTCTCGATGGACAGGACATCGGCATCCAGCGCGGCAATGGCGTGGAAGAAGTCCTGGAACTCGGAGTAGCAGAA